TTTTGTCAATCATATCTAAGTGTGTTGCAAGCAATTCCTAATGTTTCAAGCATTGTTCATACCATATCTTAAGCTGTTTGCTTGTCAAAGCATTGCCCTAATGTTTGGTCAGAAGCCACTTGCCCAGTATCATATCTAGAGTGTTGTATAGCATTCGTCAATCATATCTAAGCTGTCGTTGTCACACAGCACTCCGCTGCAGCCTTTGCAACTCGATGACACGCCTTCTCTGTCGTGGTCCTTCGCACCTCGTCTGGTAGATTCTCACGATCGCGCCGCCTGCAGCTCGTTGTCAAGACAGGATACGCCCAGTAGCGCGCCTCGCAGCCGTCGCGCTTTGTGCCCCTGCTGGCGGGCCCCCTGCCTGCACGGCGGGCTGCCGCTCGCGCGCTCTTCTCTTGCGCGGACTGCCGTCCAGGACGGCGGGTCCGCGCTGCACCTTTCCGGCGGGCGACCTTCGTCAGGTCGTGATGACGCTGTCTGCTTCGTCCAGCCGGGGGCGGGCCGGCGCGCACGGCGCTTTGCGTTTCCAGCTGAATGGAGAACGAGGATGGCGGACGCGGCGTTAAAGCCACAAACATATTTGACCAGCAGATTTGTTATCTGATATTTGTTAGGCAGGTCAGGACTGTGCCTGAGCGAATAAAAATGATTGCGCGTGTCCGCCGGGACTGAGCTTGGGCTGCGTGAATCTGGAGGGGCGATGGCGGGGGGCGCCAGAGGGGACTAGGGCCCGTTGCGGGCTGTGCGATGAGGGTTGGCAGGCTTTGGCTGACTGAGCGCTCTGCGGTGCGGGACTGAGGGCTTGGGTGGGCGCGACTGACGCCGTTGGGCTGCGCTAGCACTGCCCGCGCTCTGGGCTGGGTGACTGTCAGCGTTTGCTGGTGGCGACTGAGGTTGCGCGTGTGCTGACTGACCGTTGTGGTTGCCGCCCGCCGACTGAGCTTGCGGGTGCGCGGACTGAGAGTTTTGTGCGTGGCGGACTGGAGGGTTGGCGTGGTCGTGGACTGCGGGTGTGGGTTCGCTGACTGAGGTTGGCGTGGTGGGCACTGAGGTTTGGGTCGTGAGGATCTGTGAGCCGCGTTGTGCATTGGCCTGACGATGCGACGCGTGGTTTGGTGTGCGGGCACTGTCTAGCGCTTGGCGTCGTCGGGGACTTGCAGGTTGCCGGCTAAACTATTAATATATGTATTCACCCAACCCAATTACTCACTTTTGCATTGTCTAAACACAAAACATCGTCACAGCTCTCTTGCCAATTGGATCGAGTCCCTCGACGCGCGCTGCGTATGGGAAATGAGACGTTTGCGGCACGTTACCTGATGCAGGGCGGCACGCAAATTCAGCATATTTATCGCCACCCGGCCCCAGATCCCCGGCTCTTGGTACCGAGTTAATTGTTTACCAGCACTCACCATAATTTACCAGCCCTCAACAAATTTGTTATGTAAAACCATGTCGCATGTTTCACGCTTGCATTCTCGATTTCAAATTTGTAAAATGTTGATAAGTCATGGCATGAACTCCTTCAGGTAAAAAGTAATGTAGGCTATTTGCTATAAATAAAAATGTAGGTACTCACTAACACGGCTGAAACCACCGGCTCGGAGGGCCGGTGTTTTGCCAATGTTACCGGCCCTCCAAATAATTTGCCGGCATATGCCAGTGGGCCGGTGCTAATTTCGCGCCCTGCTATGCTGTGTGCACACTGCACACTAACACAAAACAAAAAAAATTCCTAAACACAAAACATCGTCACAGCTCGAGGTGGTAGGAAATGAGTTTGTGGCATTACCTATGCCGTGCATTAGTTATGCAATGCATTAACAGCGGGCAGCCTTCTCACCTTCATTCGTCACCTCCTCGATGGGAACATTCCACGTTATGAGGTTCCTCGCTGATCGACCTTCCTCCTCTACAATCTTCCGCACCTCCTTAATGTTCTGCTGACTACTGTTCGACATCTGAAACATCAAAACCAGCATAACGAGCTAAACACATAAATGCAGACCAGTTACTTACAATACTTATCTTTTATGATAATGATGCAGCTAATTATCGCATGTGTATATCCGAGCCAAAGCATACATGAGCTAGGTGAGCATGTCAGGAGAAAATACAATTGTGTTAAATGCACATAGATGTCAACTCACTCACTCTTTAGGACACCATTGTGAGTGAATAAGGTTAGCATTGGATTAGGATTAGGGTGGGTTGATGGTTGGAGATAAGAGTGAATTAATTACAGTTAAGGATGGGGATCATAGGGTTTAATGGTGATGAAGTATGTACATGAGCCATAAATAGGACTAAACTTGTGTTATTATCTCTACCTGGGAAGGGTGTGACATCACTACCGCTTCGAGGTGGTTGTCAGGCACGGTCGTGTCTCTGACAGCATTCACTACAGATGTGTACGGTACCGCCCAAGCACCTGTAGTCGGTGGCTGTAGCTGTGGCTGGCTACGCTGTGCAGCAACCGATGGACCACATCCTTCTTCAGATGATTGCCCTCGTTTCTCTACTCCGTGCGACGCGTCGGGTGTTTTCCGAGTGTGAGCGGTGTTAGAAGCGGTAGATCTCACGGTACTCTGTTCTCCGTTTGGCTGTGCACGTGGTTTAGAGATTTCCCGCTCAGGAACTACGTTCGACTTAGCGTTGCTGCCGCTACGCGTACTTGCACCGCGTTCGCGTTGTTGCTGCTGTCGGCTGCCATCGTGCCCATTGTGATTGTTATTTTGCTTTCTCTTTGCGTCGTTTTTGCCGTTTCTAATCATATCTCGTTTGTCGTAATATGGAAATTAACTGTCTGTTATGTCATATAAAGGGATTAAAGTAATATTTATATGCGTCGTTCACGGAACATGTTTCTTTACTATTATTTACCGATATTTTATCAGATGGGAGATGCCACTATAATATTTATGGTGACATTTTCAACACAGTCACGAGTCAGTCAATGACAACAAATCAAAACAATCACAATGTTCTTCAACTTCAACTTGTTCTTGCCACTGCCATCGATGCTACCACTGCGGCTGTACGCGTATCTAACACGCACTCGGTCACAGTTCAAATCTCGCCATTTATAAGTATAAATAAGCGACACAAACGTACTTATTCACAAATTGAATGATTTTACTCAGACAGTAGTAGAATTTACTTGATCCTTACTGGAATCTTGCTTATGCTGTATATTGTTTTGGGTGGTGGTATAACGCGTAAACCGATGTGTAACACAGATTATAGCAGAAACATTAATTTAAAAAGTCTGTTTTTTTAAACTTTATATTTTTATAATATTGATAACTGTTTTACAAGCCATTCTGTAAATATATAACATTATACAACACAATAAATAACCTTAGAATTTTGCTTTACATACGTAACGTAGCTTGAGCCAACCGCAGTCCGCAGCGTATGGCGCTTGTGTCGCATGGCGGCGTTTTTAAGTTTGAGTTGTTGATAATGATATTATATTCTAACTAGTTAATCGCTGTATCTTGATTTACTATTCGGCCTCATTCTTTGATGAGCGTGTCTCTAAAATATGTCAACGTCTTCTGTATGCTCAGAAGATGTCGGTAGTACAAGTGCACAGACTGAACATGAAAACACATCACGAGCCGCCGAGATTCTCCGGTCATCTCTTGGCTTGGCGATAAAAAAATGTATCTCAGTAAAGTACGTGTTTCGTATTATAATTATTGTAAATGTTAAAGGGATTGTTTACTCTAGGTTCTAGTGTTATTTTCAGTTAATTTAGGTTAAAATTACGCTACATAAAAAGTTTCATGGTTCAATCACCATTCTAAATATTATTAAAAAATGTTTTAAAACTAACGACTACAGTTTGTATCTTCAATAATCTTGTATCTTGTAATTGTATCTTGGCGCCCTCTCTTGTATTTCACAACTCACAAGGCACCCGAATCAACGAGTGCGGGGATTATCTAGAAAACAAAGGGATAAACGTCGCCTCTAATTTTCTAAATGTTAGTTTCACGAATCGCCAGTATTTTCCTTACATATTCTAATACTGGTTTTAATATTCCATGGCTGTACCTTTTCCAGTTATCTATTTGTTGTCCCTCCTTATATATTTCATAACTATCACAATTAATTATATAAATGTTCCATATCTTCTTTCATATCCTTATTACATACATCTATTGCACTTATCATTGCTAAAATTATTTTTAAAGTATCCTTTTAGATCAATCATGCATAATTTGCATTTAATTTAAAATTTAAATGCAAAACACGAATCGGTAAATGATAATTCTTTCATATATTCCTTCAATTCTTCAGCAACGACGGTGGCGCCACTCAAAGCGCACGATCTGATAAGTTGCGCAAAACGACTTTTCAGCCAATAGCTACAGACCGAGAGTGTTTCTAATTTAAAAGCAAAAGGATTGTAATATATTATAAACGACATATATAGTTTCAGTTATATTATGGATAAATTTGTCCTAAAATGAACATCGTTCGGTTAAATAGCATTTAGGTATAAATATAATTGCACCTTTGTGATTAGCCCTCGGTCTGTAACGTGCAAAATAAATTGGCAAATGCACAACTTTTTCAGGGTGGCAGCACGGTCGTGGGTGTCAATGGCGCCGTTCAAATGTCGCGCGTCGTAGCGTTGATGTATAATTAATTATAACAATTAAATTAGGTATCTGGTAGAAAGTACGTGTGGGTATAGAAAATTTGTTATACAGTAAGTACAGTTGTATGCAGTAAAATCCTAGAGTCTACTATCCCTTTAAATAAATAGAATGTAGTTTTCTCATTGATTATAACAATATAACCCTTTTAAACTAAGTCTGTAAAGTTTGGTTTGTGCACATCTTTCTTGGCAGCATCACATGATCATGACGTGTACTACAAAAGTACAAGATACAAAGGTTGTTTATTGTCGTTTGTTATTTCTGCGTGGTGCTGGTGCTGGTGGCCGCTGACGTTTTTTAACCAAACATAACAAACATGCGTACATAATTCTTATTTGTAGATACAGGGCTTTTACAGACGCCTACAAGGACGTGCACACAGCAAATCCAGCGGGGCTGAATAAGGTTTATTGCCAGTTCATAAATGGGTTAAAGGAAGGCATCAAGGCAAGATACTATTAGTATTACTGTAGGTTTCTATTTTGTTTCAATTAATTTTAAATTTACGCCGACTAACTCACCTACCATGCAATCGCGGTTTCATGTTTCTCTGGTCAAAAGAAGGTGTTTATCATCTACTGTATGGATGCAACGAAACTTAAACTAATAGAAAACATGTTTTATATAGGAAGAAATTGAGGGTCTCTGCCTTGAGGGGAATGTAATGCAACTCGTCAGCGACTTATACAAAATCAAGAGAGAGAATCCTGGCACAGGCAAAGCATGGTGAGATATTATGAGTTGAGAACATCTTTTATTAAATTGGGTAGATCGAGATACTATATTGGCAATGCTCCATGATTTCCTTGTTTCTCTTTCTCAAAATCTTAAAGGCCTAGCTCCTTTAGTGATATCTATAAACTGTCTAATTTTTACAATTATTTTATGCTAGTATCAAAACGTAAATAACCAAAGCATTCGTATGTTTTTTAGTTGCCTCTGTGATATTTAAAACACGTCTATATGTTGGGTCTATGAATGTTGAAAATCAAATCTTTTGCCAAACCGGCCACCTGGCGGGAAAACGGCTGTGACGTGAGACCAGGTTCTTCCCGCGTTGCACCGCACACAAAGCCTGCATCAGTGCATGAGCACAAAGCTATCCTCGACTGTAACTTTTTTTTTTTTTTGCAGTACATGTTGTGACTCATATTCGGCGTAAACATCCAACTGCCATATTAATTATCATGAGCATGATATATATACATATATATGCATTGTAGACTTTACTACCGGATTAAACCACATTAATACTAAGACAATAAAATCGGTTCCAACCACCATGCTGCTTTAATCACAAGCTCATGCCAATCTGCTCACAGTGTATACGCAATACGTTTCTGTTCTACTTTCTGTTTATCTTCGTGGACCGGTTTACGTTTAGTTTACGTTTCAGCTGACCTCAGGGTTAAACACTACATGCACATATCAATTATTATACTCATACTGTATACACCGAGTTTCTTACGATACAAGTACTAAATGCACATTACACGTGAAATAACTTTGTTACTATTATCAAGTGCATAGATTCTACGTAAGTCCTGTCATAATTTACACTACGCTAAAACATTTACTATCGACTATTGTCAGCTTTGCTTTTCATTAGTCAGGCCTACTGAGGCTACTCTTTTTAGAAAATTAGTCACTATAAAGTCAGTACTGTAGAATGGGAAATCGGACAGTTGCATAATCTGTTGGAAAAAACTTGGCTAGGTCTATTTAGCTTGTACCGAAAGCAAAAACATTTCATTATGTACACCTAGTACCTACAATAAAATACTGAGCTAAACTCACCATTCAGCAACACTTCCATTCAGCAGTCTTCCTTCTGGTTCGACGTTGCCTTGAACATCATCATGAACGATGCCCGGGTAATCGTTGGCCAATGGTTCAAACATGTACGGCTGAATACAACTATCTTCAACATGTTCAACTTCATTGTCTATGTCTACTTCATTTTCATCTTCATCAATGCTGATTGACTGCTCATCCGTATCGTACGAAACTGATAAGTCTAAGACGACTCTGAATCGGTGTTCACATTAGGCTCCATTGTACACGCTTGGCAACGGGTAATCAAGCGAGAGTGCCTGCTCCCACGTCACACTACGTCACGCGCCAAAGTAGGTAGCGCTTTTGCGTTCCCGCAAATGCTTAACATTGTGTCCATCAAAAAATGCGTTTTTCTCATACACCCGAAAACCATTCAACCTGTAAATTTCTTAGTAGTTGTACATAACATAGTTAATTTGATATATGTAACTATTTTTCATCAGTAAAGGAGGCCTTTAAACTGGTTGTAATGTACAGCGGTCGCAATTTATCAGGAACATTACTTTAATGACATGTGAGAAACATTCTTATGCACGTTATTTTAATCAGTTAAAAGGGGGACAAGACCACTGTTGAGCAGGATTATTTTCTGCAAAACAAAAACTTCCTTCTTTCTGAAGTGAAGATTGTAAAACGATCCTAAACTTTAAAGCAAACTGACAATTCTCAGTTTTTTACACCTAACCTCATGTGTATTGTACGCTGTGTGTATTTTGCAATGGGTGTTGTGTTCAAATAATTGCGTAAGGTGCGAGTAGGCATGCATGTGTCACTGGAAATGTGTTAAACATTTAATGGGAACATTTTCATGATTCATAATATTTCCTGGTAAAGCAGGGACCACTGTATATTCATTTTATAGGGTAGATATAGTAGATAATAGGAGTAGATGATAGTCCCCTATTATCTACTCCTGATTTTATACCTGTATGAGCATGTATCTACACATAATCTGTGTGTAAAGCATCTACGGGAATGCAAACTAATATCATAATTCTGCAGCTCCTGATTCTGTTGTAAATTATACTTTTATAGTCATGCCATAGAAATGTGCATCTTGGTCAACTAATTCCATGACAGCAGTGTAATAAAGTATCAGTGTGACTTGTTTTACTGGTCAGATGTGCTGTAGTTGTTTCATGACGTGTCTATCAGTGTCCCTGCTTATGATGGAAGTGCTGTCCCTCTGTAGGAGACCGAGTGGACAACCCAGGGAGGACCTACAAGCGCATCTGCTGCCCGTGAAATTAGAGCATAAATCCACGCTAGAGAGCATGCTGAAACAGCTGCAAGAGGAGAACACTGCCCTACAGCAAGCCGTCCTCGCTCGGCGACGCCACCTACAGGACAGAATGCTCAAACAACAAGAGCTGCAGGTGGGCGATGTTCAAATTGTCATCATCTTACAACGCACAGTTGCACATCAGTAGTTTCCGTATAAAGCAGTCGTTTTTTGTGTAGCTCCACTTAGAATTCATTCCCATTTATTCCTATGGTATGGAATAATAAGGAATTCCTATGGATTTTTCAACCATTCGATACTGACCCCAAAACAATGTAGCCTCATATCGTGGCAGTTATTTCAAGTAAAGACTTGCAGTGTACGTGTGTCATGTGAAAGATAGATACCCCTGGTAGTGTTCTTTTTTATAACAGTGTATGTACTATGTAATAACATGAATCATCCAATCACGAGGGTTGAGTGGCGAATGTATAAAATATTATGCTTCTGAATTCCAGGTGGATCTGCTAGCAACCCCAGGCTCATCATATCTCCACGAGATAGAGCAGTATATGCTGAATACGAAATGATGTACTGGGGTGAACACTCGTAGTGTGTGCGTGCGTGCGTGCGTGTGTGAGGACAGGCAGGGCTGGGGTGAATGCTGGTACTGTATATCAAATCCTTGTAAAACAATTTACATAATAGCTACGTTGTGTAAACTTTATTATAGTTGTAATTTGCAAAGCACATACCAATATTATGTTGTATATACCCCCTTGCTATATTATGATCACATATGTACAGACGTCATGCAACATGGCACCAATATAACTTGTAGACTTTTTAGCTGAATTGTCAATAAAATTATGTGCAAGATAATTGGTCTATTGTCACCGTGACTTCTGTGCACACACTCATTAAATAGTGCAGTTATACATATTATGATCCTGCTGCTACACGCATGAGCTGTCCGCCCTCATTTTCTCCAGTACTGAAAGAAAGAACACAGAACGTCTTACACAAATGCACATCCCTGCTGGGAAAGATTAATTAACACCTGTTGTACACCTTTTTCAGGTTATACTAGAATCATGGCAGTTCTACAGAGAATAGTTAGTCATGACATATTCTCTGAGTCTTAATATGATTAAGTACCTTTTATATGTTGTAATGCACATGTGAACATATTGCAGTACAACATGTACAATAAAATTTTATTTTATTATTTTCTATATTTATAAAGTAGATTAGATACAATAATGTAACCCAAACCCAGGATGTACCAATAATGTAACCCAAACCCCTATCCTGGGTTTGGGTTACATTGTTGTATCTAAAAGTAGATAGACTGATCCTGGACTGGGGTACTTGCTGTTATTTCCAACACTGCTTTAGGAAAAAATCGTATCACTCTACATTACGTTTGGTGAGACAAATGTAGCCACGCTTCCTTGGTAAAGAACAGTATTGAAAATAACAGCCTTTCCCTTAGTCAGGGACCAGCAACTTTTGAGCAAGACTGGCTAATTTGGACATATTTCACTAATTTACAATATGTTATATGAAAGAAGGAATTTTCGGAAGCAGTACTGACAGGGTTTTTAGAATTATTTGCTAAAGAGGCTATCAAGTAGGGGTGTAACGATTAACTGTGATTCAACTATCCTGGTACATCCTATTCGATTTGGTTTTCTTTCCTTTTTTTCGTTTTGGTTCCGGGAAATACATTCAACCCACTCTCAGTTAGGGGAGCGCACACGCCGAGCAAACGGCTCAGCACTTACGCCAAGCCCCTAAACTACTAGTCTAATAGTCTATTTTGGTCAGGTAGATCACTTTAATGAATAGTATTATGACTATTATCCGTGAACTGTATTACTTTATTGTCTTTTGGCCAATGAATAAAACAATAAATGTATAATATTATGATAGTTATTATTATTATTTTTCAAAATGGAGGGAACATTCCCCATCTTCTCAGCACGTTTAATTTTTTACTACTGGAAATAACCAAACCAAATGAACCGAACCGAAGAGCAAAAAAATGAAAACCGAAACAAAATGTATCGTTACATTTGCTTATTGTAATATTGCTTATTGCTATATATTGTAAACATCGTTACATAATTACACCCCTACTATCGAGGCAGGCAGCTCACCTGTGCAAACTGGTGTATGCGTTCCACCATGGCTGCCATCACGGCTGTCACACTGAGATCTATGAGGTTCTGCATGAAGTGAACTGCCTCCTCTTCAGTCAGGTCCAATCGAAACTTGTCCTGCACCTGCACAAGACACGACACGGTTGACATCTGCCAGTCAATCTGACAAATCTTAAACGATGCCTCGTCGTAATTGTCACTTGTTAGGTAAGGCGGGTGAAACGCTTAAACGGTGTTCACTCACGTGGCTCATTTATAGCTACGCGTGTATATTTTATAGCGGCGCAAACATGGGGTTATATCGCAGGTATCAAACTGAAAGTCACACTAGCGTTAAAAACAATGTACTATTTATAAAGTGCATCAGTGCATCGAAACGATCCCATATGAGTTACTCTACAGGTTTCCTCTTGTACCAGTGTCTGCGCGTATTTCATGAAGTGGGTCTATATCATAACATTGTCCCTATAGAACGGAATGCAAGGGTCGCTCTTACGCAAAAGACAGTTTTTTCATACTGCTGTAAAGATCGCATTGCAGGAGGTTTGCTACCTTTCTAACTGTTTTGTCAGGCTCTAACGCAATGTCTGGAATACTTGCATCCACCATTAATGATATCAAATTGAGTATCAAGTTTGCAGACCTAAGCAAAGAAAACATCACAAATTTTGTTGAGCATGAATTGTCCACATCAATGTTGCATGTACAGTGACAATAATGCTAGTACTATAATAATTAGATTAACTAATGAATAGAATTGATATTGAATATCATTCAGACGGATTGTAGGCTCTATTAGATTGAATTCTAATGTTACAATGTCATTTATGAGCTTGATTATTGGAGTTAAATTTGAAATGCGAGTTCAGAAATTACATGACTTCAAAACTATTATGCTTAACCTACTTAAATCACTCTGTCAATGTGAAAACACAACCGTATATATCCATTATTCTTACAATTTAGGTACCAAGTAGTAACTCAAGACAATTTCAGTGACACATCAGAGTGATTTCCCCCGCTCCCAATTCCTGACGACCAACAAGAATTCAGCTGTCTGCCCAAACAATTACAAGAAACTGCGTAACAGCTAATACAAAACATCACAACATGACCAAACCCAACCTTCGCAAATGCAGGAAAGCTGTGTAGCAAAGCGTTTTAAAGTCGCCGAAGAATTCAGAGTTGGTTCCGCCCATTGCTTCCACCATCTCTTTGGTGAGTTTCATCGGTGGTGGCATCGGCTTGGGATCACGTCCCAGGATGTAGCCGAAGTCAATGTGAAATAGCTTGCCTGAAAATTAGCAGTACACAACTTACAAACATACCAACACTCGCGGCCCACTGTCAGACACAACAGGGGTTATGAATGTTTAGGATGCTACACTCTTTCCACGTGAAGCGTTGTAGAAAAGGTCTGACTTCACTGAGTTATGATAATCACAACTATCTACGATGTTTCTGATTACAGTCCTCCTGGTATCGCATCAATAAAGACAATACGCAGTCATAACGTTTAACAAACTGTACGAGGCTAGACACTGGCTGGAGAAGATTGCTAATAAATTACCAAGATTGCTCGAGCTTTTCCCATCACACAGTGAGGAAAAGAAACAGCGTGATGCACTTCGAGTAGGCAAGTGAGTATAGGCATGTGTCAGGATAGTAGTGGTATACACATACCTGTATAGCTAGGTATACACATACCTGTATAGCTAGGTATACACATACCTGTATAGCTAGGTGTACACATACCTGTATAGCTAGGTGTACACAACTGTATAAGCTAGGTAATATCATACCTGTATGCATAGGTGTACAATACTGTATAGCTAGGTATAACGATACCTGTATTAGGGGGGCGTGAGGGGTGATACAGAATTACTGTATATCCTAGGTGTACACTGCACTCTATAGTACGTGTAACACATACCTGGTATATTTAGGTACACAACCTGCTATACTAGGTATACCACATACCTGTATGAGTAGTGTAACAATACCTGCTATAGGCTAGGCTGTACACGTACCTGTATAGCTAGGTGTACACATACCTGTATAGCTAGGTGTAAAATACCGCCCTTTTTTTTTTTTTTTGTTTTGTTTTTTTTTTTTCCTATAGCTAGGTATACATACCTACCTGTATAGCTAGGTATACACCTACTGTTAGCTAGGTGTACGCATACCTGTTCAGCTAGGGTACAGCATACCTGTATAGCTAGAGTTTCACAACAACCTGTATGCGAGGTGTACACATACCTGTATAGATAGCGTATAGCACATACCTGTATAGCTATGGTGTAGCACATACCTGTATAGCTAGGTGTACCAGCATTACCTGTATAGCTAGGTGCTACACATACTGTATAGCTAGGTAATACACATCACCTGTATACATAGGTTACACATACTGTTAGCTAGGTATTACACATACCTGTATAGCTAGGTTACAATACCTTGTATAGCTAGGTGTACACATACCTGTATAGCTAGGTGTACACATACCTGTATAGCTAGGTATACACATACCTGTATAGCTAGGTGTACACATACCTGTATAGCTTAGGTGTACCATACCTGTATAGCTAGGTGTTACAAATACTGTATAGCTAGGTGTACGCATACTCCTGTATAGCTAGAGTGCTACTAATACTGTATAGCTAGGGGTATAAGCGATACCTGTATAGCTAGGGGTCACATTACTGTTTTACTAGCTAGGTATCACATTCCTGTTATGCTAGTGTACACCATCCTGTATAGCTAGGTGCTGACACCAACCTGTATACCCTAGGTATACACACCTGTATACCTAGGTGGTACACATACCGTGTATAGCTAGGTGTACACTACCTGTATTAGCTACGGTATACACCTACCTGTATTAGCTAGCGTAGTATCACATAACCTGTATAGCAGGGTACACATCACTGTATTAAGCTAGGTGTACAAGGATACCTGTATAAGCTAGGTGTACACAACCTGCTATAGCTAGGTGAGCACATACGCTGACAGCTATGTATACACATACTGTATAGCTAGGTGTACCTACAATGACCTGTATAGACAGGTATAACAATACCTGTATAGCTACGGTGTACACATTACCTGTATTTAGCTAGGTGGTACATATACACTGCTATAGATAGGTATACAAATACGCTGTATAGCTAGGAGTTGTACACATACCTGTATAGCTAGGTGTACACATACCTGTAATAGCTAGGTGTACACGATACCTGTTAGTTTTAGGTGTACACATACCTGTCATAGCTAGGTCATCATCATACCTGTATAAGCTAGGTATACAATACTGTATCGCAGATGCACATACGCTGATAGCTAGGTATTGCACATCCTGTAAGCTAGTTAAACACATACCTGCCATAGCTAGGTGTAACACATACTTATAGCCTAGGTTATACACATACCTGCTATAGCTAGTGTGCTACACATACCTGTATAGCTAGCGTGTACACATACCGAGTATAGCTAGGTATAACATACCTGTATACTAGGTATACACATACCTGTATAGCTAGGGGTACACATACCTGTATAGCTAGGTCTACACTATACCTGGTATAGTAGGTAGCACATACCTGTATAGCATAGCGTGCATACACATAACCTGTATAGCTAGGTTACACATACCCTGTATCAGCTAGCCGCTGTACATCATACCTGTATATTAGGTATAATACCTGTATAGCTAGGTGTACACACTACTGTATAGCTAGGTATAACAAATACCTGCATAGCTAGTACACATACTGTATGTACATGTAAACATACCTGCTATAGCTAGATGTAAACATCCTTCGTTGTTGTGAGCAGTAGATTATCCAGGTGTCCATCACAATCCTAGCAGGTATGTTACTAACAACATAGCCAGCTAGCATATATAAACAGAAAACTCAAAGCATCAACAATTGGCCACTCAAATATTAGAGAAGACCGCATGAACTACTTTGCGACAGAGCAGAAAAATCGGTGATAATTCACTTGCTAACAATAATGTGCAATATGAATAGTACCTATATTCAGTTATATATATACAACTCGCGGGGTGGGCACTCAGAGGTGTATGCTGCTACACCCTCTCACTTATTGGTTAATAAGTTATCAGTTTTTTTTTACTAACAATGACACTCATTTAAAATGCATATTCTCAAACAAGAGGAGCACGAACGTACTAACAGAAATTATTTATCACATTACCGTAATATATCGCTAATAACCGCAATTTTGCCTCAGATTTCAACCATGTATCTTGCTCGCCATCGTTTTAGTGCGCCATGACGGAGGGGCAATATACTAGGCGCATACTGTTACCGCATTCATATTCCGGCCGCCCTAGCACCTGTGCGGCTTATAGGCGCCCGCCGTTATTACGCGATCATATATACGGTACTCGTTACTCATTAATTAAACACTCATTCACTCAACTAGCCACAACCACTAGATGCAAACATAACCGAGTTAAGGTAAAATTGCAAGCCACTTCACGAGTTACAACAAGGCCTGCACTTATTTCTGAGTAAGCGCATCCGCAACTACAACAACCAACTGACTTGGTCCCTGCCAATAACTAACCATACATTCACACTACTGACTATGACCAGAATACCGCCACAGATAGTCCTACAGTACTAGTGAACAGTAACTATAAACTAATTACGTAGCATGCCACTCGTACTGGACGCTGAGAGGGTCGTATGTCCCCGCCGGGTACTGCACGAACGTACCCTGGTAACTATCGTAATATGCCGGACCGTACCTCGCCTACTCCAGTCTAGTTGCGGGCCGTATCCTTTCAATAGTGAACCAAGAAATTTTTAATAGTTCAAGGTTTTTATTTATATGTATTCATATCCATGTCTGGAAGATTTTAGCTTGTTGGCACAACGCCAACTTTGGGAACATTTTTAATTAGCTAATTTGCATAATTAACATGGCCAAATACAACTTTTTAACTAATAGGCTAGAATCATGTGTGATAGCTCTTTTCTATATAGGGTTGACCCAGTGAATCCATTTCTGATGTACTTTTCGCCGATAAAGGTCAGGATCAACCTATAAAGTCAAGGTACAAGGTCACTTCGGCTCAAAATTACCTAATTTCACTTACAACGGACTGACTGAAAATTATGTGTTGCTGTGAAGGTGTATTGAGTGCCCCGTATTGAGTGTTGATGATAGTAATGATTATTATTATTGTTGATAAATTAAATAATGCCTGGACCATATGGTCAAGGTTACAATATGGGGTCAAAATACACATTAACTAATGCCGACTAGAATCATGTGTGATAACACTTTTCTACACAAGTTTGACTCAAGGAATCCATTTTGATTTATTTTCGCAGTTAAAGGTCTCGTTTAACCTATAAGGCAAGATCAGGATCACTTTGTTTAAAAATTGACCAAATTCGCTGAATTCCGAAACAAAAATTGCCACCATAATGATCATTTTCAGGTACAATGTGATAGTGTTATCATAGACACAAGATGAGAGGCACGGGATATGTTTAGCCCAATTTATTCTGTCCCAATAGCCTATCTGATCACAGAGTAACGCATCATGGTCACCCCCAGGTGCAGAAAGAGGCACGGAAAGTAACGAAATCGAACAAGAACCTCTTCTACTCTTGGTAACTTCACCATAGGAACACTATTAGCCAGACCAGCCATACTCTACTTTATCTCGTATCAAGCACTGTGTCAAATAATGAGGTAACTAAGCAGTCCCTCAGCCGGCCCAGTCGATCCAAAGTCACATCACTGCGCTGCCACAACAGACCACTTTGCGTTAGCTGTCAAGATCATCACATGCACGGAAGCTCAGAATTGATAAAAGAATTGTTGCATCACAGCTATGAAAAATCATCTGCGTTTCGTAAAAGCGCTGCAGCATCTTGGGCGGACCAACAGTGTGGCGCTACATCAGGCTATGGGGCTGGAGAAGAGGGGGGATCATATCTGGATGTCATATTTGGATGGATGGACACGTCCTGACCTACCACATCTACACCCCAATGGACGGAGGACACACACGCCATGGGACACGAATTCCAGCAATCTCATCCATGTGGTATCATAATGAGGGAGTTTGTGGCGGGCAGCATATCAACACTGATATACCCCGATTGAAAGGCTGCCAGCTTTACCCTCGACTCCTGAAGCAGGTGATGCCGGCATTGGCTCTATTGCACGACACTGGCAAGAAACAGGTGCACTCATGCCCTCTCCCAAATGTGACTAGCGCGCAGTTTTAAAAAGTCATTCATACCAGGAAAGCCTGAATCGTGCCCAGGAGAAGGATGAGCAGTGGTTGTTTAACGTGTTGAGGAAAGAGGGTGCCACTGATGCGGACCTGATGGTAGTTGGCAGCAATTCTTTGCGCATTGTATGGACAACCTGCAGGCACCTCCATGACTCATGCTCACTACAATCTATACACCCGTAAACGTGGCGAAACCACTGCGCATCATGTCACTGCCGCCCAACAGCAGAAATCTCTACCACCATTGCTCGTGCCCACTTTGGAAGGCTGCCGAAACTAGGGTTTATTCCTCAGATGTCTCCATCTCAGAGTATGGTTGGGAATAAAGGATGGGATACACTTGTCCTTGCATTGATTAGTGGCACACTGGGACGCAGCCGCTTCTGATGAATGTGATCTGCTGATGCTGTCGAGCAATGGGTGGCATGCAAAGCTAAATGTAGCTGGTCACCGTGAAAAACTAGCTGCTCCAAACTACGTGCTCTGCACAGTCGGTGATGCGTTCTGCAACACATTCACAAGAAAGAGCGGGATGATAAGGATGACGAGCATGAGTGTGATTATTGAAGGATCGGAGTGAGGAGCAAGAAGACGATGAGCTGCGAGGTTGATTTTCAGAACAGAACTACAGAACATCTGAGTTTCAAATCACGCACAAAATTTATGTGTGCAATAGTCATGTTTCTTGATGCTTTAAATACTATTAGTCATTGATTTCGTCCTAAATTATATTAATTGCATATATTGTTCACAAATGTTGGTTGCTTTAGACTGACTATCATTTTATAAGGCATAAATGTATAGGGTGGAGTTATTTTAACTTAAAAAACGTGTTTAAATGAATAAATAAACGAATAATTATTGTGAATGTTATAAATCTTGCAATAAATTTGTAGTGATTTTACCTTGACCTCTAATGCAGACCGTGATTCCCATATGGCCCATCATTATTGAAATTTATCAAAAATAAATATAATAACTACTTTGCAACATTACCATCATCCACAATTTATTTGGGACAGTTCCGATGGTGGCAATTTTGCCTTACGGAAATTCAAGCGAATTTCGTCAATTTTGAACCAAAGTGATCCTGACCTTGACCTTATAGTTAAACGTGAGCTTTAACTGGCGAAAATAACATTAGAAATGGATTCTTGAGTCAAACTTGTTGTAGAAAAGTGTTATCACACATGATTCTAGGTCCGATTAGTTAAAAAGTGTATTTGACCCCATATTGTAACCTTGACCCCATATGGTCAGGCATTATTTTAATTTATCAACAATGATAATAATGCATTACTATCATCAACAATCAATACAGGGACTCAATACCACTCTTAACAGCAACACATAATTTTCAGTCAGTTACGTTGTAAGTGAAATTAGGGTAATTTAAGCCGAAGTGACCTTGACCTTGACTTTATAGGTTTATCCTGACCTTTAATCGCGAAAGTAACATCAGAAATGGATTCACTTGGCGTCAACCCTATATAGAAAAGAACTATCACACATGATTCTAAGCCTATTAGTTAAAAGGGTGTATTTGGCCATGTTATTATGCAAATTAGCTAGATAAAAATGTCCCAAAGTTGGCGTTGCTGCCAACAAAGCTAAAAATCTTCCAGACATGGATATGAATACATATCAATAAAAAAACCTTGAACTATTAAAAATTTCTTGGTTCGCTATTCTGCAACTGGACTACTAACGAGTCTAGGGAGTCGCCTACGCCTACTCCCTAACCCTACCCCTAATCCTAACCCTAACCCTAACCATATCAAATAGTGACCAGGGTACGTTCCGGTATATCGGACCGTAACCAGGGTACGTTCCGGCAGTACCCTGGGGGACATAAACCCTATGAGCTCTACTGACTGTGACCAGACTACCACCACAGATATTCCTACAGTACTATAGTGAACAGTAACTAAACTGACCGCAGCTCTTGATGTAATTGTCCATGACCTCTGGCACGATGCCAAACTGGCCGGTCTCCGACGGCGCATGCTTGCGGAAGAAGTTCTGGATGCCTCCCTCGGTGTTGAGCACTTCGCGGACCGCCACTGAGTCAATGAACTGCACGAGACCTAGACAAGATAGCGAGAGAAGCCAGGCCGCTAAAGCTTGCACCCCGATTAGCTGAGATTGCAGCACCACTTAGGCACCTTGCTAAGAAGGAGAATGAGTTTGTGTGGGACGGCCAGCCTGATGCGGTATTCCAACAGGTGAAAGACTTTGGACTTTGGTCAAAGTACGGGTCGGCTCTGTCTGCCCCTCTTAATTTATTAGCACTTACTTTTACTTTTAACCGTAGGACCAACGACCCGTAGGATTATAGATCAGTCTCCAGCAACGCAGAGTGATGCATGCGCCCTCTACCAGGGAAGGGCCTGCGACATCGATCAAGCTCGATCGAGCGATTTAAGTTAAGAGTGTACTTAATTACAGTTGCAGGAACTCGATTGTGAAACTTGCGAATGCTGAACGACTGTGGGGGGAACCAATGTAACCTGTATAATATAATAAATCACTCAAGTGTGTTCACTACGGTTGCAAGATACAACGATTCAATATGTTAATTAAGCCAATTAATGCATTTTAACGAAGTCAGCAAGTAACATCAAATATTATAATTAACTAATATTGTCAGTATAAATACGCAAGATACCACACAAAAGCCACAGGCACTTAGAGCGTTTCAATAAAATATAATGCTAAATAAATACGAAATCTATTTACTACCAAATTCTTAATGTTTCTCTACTCTCTTTCACCTATTATTGCCGACAATTTCCTGCAAATGCCGTCCAAATGCTCCTCTGCTACACACACTGGCACCGTGCGCACGCTGCCGGCATTTGGACGACATTTACAGGAAATTGTCGGCAATAATAGGTGAAAGAGAGTAGAGAAACATTAAGACTTTGGTAGTAAATAGATTTCGTCTTTATTTAGCATTATATTTTATTGAAATGCTCAAAGTGCCGCTGATAGGGTCTATGTCCCCCAGGGTACTATCGGAGGGTACCCTGGGTACGGTTCGATATATCGGAAAGTACCTCGGGGTACTATACGATATGTCACTGCGTACCCTGCATTGCCCCACCGTACCCTGATTTTCACATACACAGTCTGTGAAACAGCAAAAATATTGAGATTAATTGATGAATCATCAATTAATATGAATAATTTAGAAAAATTAATAAAAGCTAGTAGTCTCGTAGTTTAATGTTATCATTGTAATACTATCATTACCATAAACAAAAATGGTTTGACATTGACATCAAATAAAAAAAAAATCAATATGCACGTGACGGCGGCAATACCTTGCGGTGGTAATACCTCACCCACCAGTATAGGGGAGAAGCGTAAAATGTTGTCATCCACTAAAAATTATCATTTTTCTGCAAAACCATATGTATATGGTTCTGCATGATTTTCATGACCAATTGGCTGAAAGTCAGGGTACGGTGGGACAATGCAGGGTACGCAGCGACATATCGTATAGTACCCCGATGTACTTTCCGATATATCGAACCGTACCCAGGGTACCCTCCGATAGTAACCTGGGGGACATAGACCCAATATCAGCCCAAGTGCTTGTGACATAAGCAGTATAGCAAAGCAGCTATACTGGCGCTATCTGTCAGTGAGCTGCACAACCTACCATGTTTGCTGCTCGTTGCCAGAACTCTATAAGGTGTTAATTTCAAGTCCAAATTCTCTTTCTTCAACAACTGCAATAGAATAAGAGGAGAATGCTTTAACCAATTGGTTACCTTACTAGTGCCATTGTTTAAAAAAAATAAATAACAGAGTATAGCAGAGCAGGTTACATCTGCCCTTCTCAGAGAGGAAATTCATACAGCAAAGTACCTTTCTCTCAGGAACAGAAAAGCTACTGCATAGCCCAACGACTGAAATCGCCAAGTGATAAAGAGTTTGTCAAACCTGGATCCTGTAAATTATTATTTCAGGCATTTGATACTTCCCATATGTATATTTATGTTCTCACATGTTCCCCCATAGTACTGAATATTTTCATATTGCCCACTCACCCTGTGTTGACACCCCACGTAAGATTTAAGAGAGTGGTGTGTAGGTGATTGTGTTGTGTCTGTAACATCATATCACGTTCACTCTATAACAAAATAGTCAACAGTTTTTGGTGAGTTGATTTTGCATTTTATTTTAATGTCGACATGCAAATTTCTACAAGTATCTGCGCCCGTAAGGAAGTCATTTCTACTACAAACACAAAGCAAGTCTGATCACACAACTGTACAAAACATGAGAATTCATGCACAACTAGTTGGCAACATTACATCATTTGGTATGGAACTCTGCACACCAATTACTTAAAATTGTCAAAATTAACGACTAATAATAAACTACTAGCAATCTACAAAAATTTGGTGATGAAACTGACCTATAAACATCCAGTCAAAATAGGTTATAATAGGATAAGTCGCGCAAGTAATCACGTGCAGTAATCGCATTTTCACTAAATCGTTAATCAGAATAGAACCCTCGTTGAATCGCCTCCACTTGGATCCAAAGCGGAGTGACACGAGCCTTTCTGTCCAGTTGTTCGCCAAGAGGGTACGGTACCCCAGATGTCTCCCTCTCTCTCCCTCCTCTTAGGAATTGGGCTGCATTCTTGGCAGGTCTGCCCCACCTCCCTTCTCTTGGGGATAGGGTTGCACTCTTCGCAGTAAGTATACCCCTCTTCTTTCCTCTCTGAGGCAGGGCTGCCTTCAACGTAGGTCTGCCCCTCCCCCTTCCTCTCTGACATGGGGCTGCCCTCAACGTAGGTCTGCCCCTCCCCCTTCCTCTCTGACATGGGGCTGCCCTCAACGTAGGTCTGCCCCTCCCCCTTCCTCTCTGACATGGGGCTGCCCTCAACGTA